CCCAATCAACCTTTGACAATTGATCCTTCCAAAAAAGATTACAACGAATTGTATAGAAACTATAAAAACATGTGCGAATTGTTTGGAAATACGCCTCAGTTTGAATACACAGATTTTTAACTCAATCATCCAATCTTTTGTTTCGATCTGTCAGCTCATCAAGAAGATCTTTTCAAAACAGGGGTAAACATAAATATTCACATCGATAAAACACAAGGAGATGTGACCGGCTACTGTTTATTGCTGGAAGAAGCAAAACATTTGATTAAAATATCAGATAGAAGAATGATAAGAATTGAATAAAAAAACACCAGAAACCAGAAACTTTAGTTATGAAAATAATAGAAGCTATGGAAACGAATTCGCCGACTCTAATAACTTACAACGGTAAAAAAGTGCATATAACCCAAAAGATTATCGATAAATACAAACATTGCGAAGTCAGAGACGATATAGACTTGGAAAGAATTGATGAGAATTTAACTAAAAAAGGTGGATTTTTACCTTTCTTACCTTTAATCTTTGCTGGTTTAGCTGCAGCTGGTGCAACTGCTGGTGGAGCTGCTGGGATAGCCAAAGCTGTCAACGATAAGAAAGCTGAAGCCGCTGCAAACGCCGAAGCGCGTAGACATAATTTGGCAATGGAAAGAGAAGCACGAGGAGGTTCGGGAGTAGGAGATATATTAGGGACGGTTAAAGAATTCGGATAAAGATTTGGCGAAGAAACCAAGAAAACCGTTAAAGAGGGATTAAGCAAATTAATAGATAAAATCGACACCGGAGAAATGAAGGTCAAATACAAGGGGGACGCCATATTTTTTAAAAACATACGTTCGGGCGAGGGGATCTTCCTTTCAAAGTATAAAGGCAACGGGTGATTTTTGGTACGAAAATGTAATAAATAAAAATGGGCAAGAAATTTAATCATTCGGAAATATTTCCTAATAACCCAATGCTCATGTGTATATGCGGTAGTTCCGGTTCTGGGAAAACTCATCTCACTTTTAACATGTTGACAACACCAAACCTTTTAGATTTCGTTTCTCTGTATATCTACACAACAACACCAGAGCAATCGTATTATCAATTCCTCAAAGCTTTGGAATATTTACCAAAGAAAGATGTTCAGGACATATTTCAATATTACGAAGAAAACGAAGAAGAAGTGGAAATAAAAGATATCATAGAAAACTTCATTAAATCAAAGAATCCATCTTTCAATCCAACGGATATAAAAGTTTTCTTACGAAAAATGTTAATGATCTAGACTTGTCTAATATTGATAGCAATCGAAAGAACTTAATATTGTTTGACGACTGCGTAGCGCAAAGAAATCAAACTGTTCAACAAGAATTCTTCACCAAAGGAAGACATCACAGCTGTCACTGCATATACCAATCCCAATCTTTTTACGGGATGGATTCTATGTTCATTAGAAAAAATGCAAATTGTTTTTTATTATTTGAATTAAACGATAAAGATTTATCTCAAATCATTCAGTCTATAAATCACGGAATGGACAGAGATACATTTAAAAAGGTTTGTAAAGCTCAATGGAGAAACCCAGATGATCATGGATATGTATTTGTAAATACTAGAAAACCTGCAGGAGAAAGAGTTATGATCGATATATGTTAATTTTATTTTTTTAAAAATGACGGATTGGAATAATTTTTTAAAAAGAAATAGAGAATATATCAAAGCTAAGAATAAAATAAAGACCCAAGTTGAAAATAACAGATTACAACAACTCGGATTAACGGAAAATCTACAGACTCTATTTCAACCCATATTAAAATCTCAAGAGGATATTAAAAAGAAATTAGCTTTAGAACCCACACCTCATAAAGAACCCAAACCGATTGAATATAATGGTATTATAATTAGGACATTAGATGATATAAAACGTCTTTTTTCAAACCCTGACCCAGATTTACCAAAGAGCATTTCACCAATGATAATTGGTGATAATCAAGGTTTATTGTTTAATGGATTTAGAATAATATTTAGTCCAAATTCCCCTTTATTCAAAATCGACACAAAAGACTTTATATTTACATTAACGAGAGGGTTAATAGATTTAATGAATGGCAAGGATGTTGAAATTGCCGATTACAAGGATTTAGTTGCATACTCAAAATTTCTACATGCAATAAGAAAGTCAGGACCCGAAACAAGAAGATTGAAAGAAGTTGATTTTTATATAACAAAAGTTATTGAGGAAGAGAAATCAGACGATTATGCAGAAGATTATCCACCCATCATACAAGAAATAGACGAATTCGATGATATGGTGGCATCTGGACAAGGTATAACGTTTTTATCCGACGACAATAAAGAATTGCTTAATAGATTAGAAATAATATTAGCGGCCATGAAAGAAGGTCATCGATCGGACAGACAATACAACGAAGTCAATGCTATATTAAAACGACTTTTAGAGAAAAAAATCATCACTAAAAAAGACTATATAAACGTCATTTGGAAAAAAATCATCACTAAAAAAGACTATATAAACGGTAAAAACAATATCGAATTCGAAGGTAATCTGAATCTGAACAAAATAAAACTGATATTGAGAAATAACAGTCAAGTCGATTTCAACGTAGAAAATTCGTTGAATGCGTTACTAGGGTTCGATAAACGAATATACGCGCAATCGACATTGGCGCCGCACAAGACCAACATCGAGAACGACATCGACGTGATCAACATTTACTGTAATTTGATCAACGGTGGATTTTTCAACAAGCACAAACGCCAAATCATATACAGCATACCGACTTTTACGGTACCGATCGGATACAGAATTATAGAGAAACCGTTTCAAACGACCTATTTACCAGTCAATTCTTTCATGATCAAAGATATAAATCTGGAAATCAAAGACGGTAAAAACAGGTTCATAGACTTTGGCAACGAAGAAATTGTCATTCAACTTCATTTAAAACAATCTTCATTCTCTTCTTGATTAGAAAGATAATCGAAATCATCAAATTCATAGTTTTCGTCAAAACTATACTCATCTTTGTCGTTGTAAGGAGACATAATTCCTTCACTGTTTGGTGGTTTTCTTTTAACATTATTCAAATAACTTCTAAAAACTTTAGTTTGTTTATCATTTGGAATAACTACTCCATTGGTGAAACTTTTTTCCCATGGTTTATTAAATTCGTTCGACACATCATGTCCGCTTGCTAACTGAACGTAATCTTCTACACTTATCTTATCATTAGAATAACCTTTAAACGTTTTCTTTTCTTTTAAGACACCATCAGAAGTCAAAACGATGTTGTATTTGACTTTTGGTGCTAAATATAAACCAAATATAATTCCACCGTCACCGTAATCGTTTTTACCTTTGCAATAGTCTTTTTCGGAGACCAAACCAGCTCTGTTTAGT